TAGTTCTCTCCACAGTCTACCTCCCAAGCCAACTAAAAGTGCTGTAATAAGAGACTGAACTAAGTTCTAGTATGTTCACAAAATAGAAAGCTGTTCAATAATAAAAGAAATGAGATGTTGTATATAACAAGGTGGGCAACTGTCCTGATTATTATGACAAGTAAAAGAAAAGGCAAAAAAGCATTTATCACAGGATTCATTTATGTGAAGCCGAAGAGCATCACACAAAATTTAGCTAACCAAAGGTGATGGACATCACTATTCTACCTATAGTGTTTACCTCTAGGGTAAGGGCACTGATGAGGGGCACTTCTGGGAATGCAGAGATAGCTCTCTGCCTTCATCAAGGTGATCGTTATGGTGTAGACCAGTGGATCTCAATCTTACCCTTTAATACAGTTTCTCCTGTTGTGATGACCCCCAACTATAAAGTTGTTTTCATTGCTACTTCATAACTGTAATTTTGCTACTTTTATGAATCATAATATAAATATCTGATATGTAGAATACTAGATATGCAACCCCTGTGAAAGGGTCATTCAATTCCCCCAAAGGGGTCGAGACCCCCAGTTTGAGAATCACTGGTGTGCAAGTGTCTAAACTGTACACTGAATGCAACTGTGCTCTCTGCCTAGTGTGTGTGTGCCTGTTGTGTCTCAACTGGAAAAAGTTAAAGGTGGTCAGACCACATTCCTCAAACTTCCTGAGTCAGGAGAACCTCATGAAATGAGCAGCTAGCAAAATGAAAATGAACATAGTCTATGGTGCAACTCTGACATGACAGACTGCCACAGACTCTAGGAGCAATTGAATTGACTCAATGCTCCTTCATAATGAGATTCTGCAAGTTTGGGTTTAGCTGAGAGCACAGAGTCTCCAAAGAAGCTATTAAGAATGGTTGAACAAGCTGTTATATCCCCTTTTGAGCATATTTTTTAATGAAAAGGATATTTGAATACCTAACTGTAAATGAAATGGATATTTAAATATACCAGTTAGGTAAGTCAATGGAGATTCATTAATGGATAATAAACTAAATCAAGGATTTTACAATGGGAAAGGATAAAAAAAACATAGAAGGTGCTTTTGGCTCGTTTACACTCAATTCAATAGTTTTCATGCAGAAGCCCAAGGGAATTTTTATTTAATTCAATCCTTGAATTGTTTCTAGCTAATGGGCCCACTCCTATTTCAGCATCATCTTCCATTAAAGGACAAGCCTGGATGTAAAAGATTGTGGAGCCTCCGTTGTTCTTGAATGATTAACACTTCTCAGATGCTTTTATTGCTCTCTTACAAAAGCAGGGATTTCATCAGCTGAGCTGGAACCTTCTAGGACTTGAGATTTACATAAATATATAGAGACAAAAATGATAAAAATATAACGGGTCCAGAGAGAAAACCACCTATGTGCTAGAAGGGGAATCTCCTGAAATCATTGGCTCCTTTATGCTGACAGACAGATAAGAATGAGATTCAGGGCCAGGCAGTGGTAGTGCACACCTTTAATCCCTCATGAGGCAGAGGCAGGCAGATATCTGAGGGTCGAGGCCAGCCTGTTCTACAGAGTGAGTCAGGGCAGCCAGGGATAACTGGAGAAACACTGTCTCAAAAAACAAACAACAAAAAAAGAACAAGATATGGTTAGAGGCGCTTCTTTGGGTCAACACATCTCATTGTGGAGACACTTTGACTGTAAAAGGCAACCAAAATATCACTCATTGAACATTCCTTTTGAAAGATGACATCGCTGTGGTAAGTAAGTAAAGCAGCTCTGGTCACTTCTTAGTTTAGAAAATAACACCAAAAAGCTTATTTCTAAAAATGAGAATTTTCACAAGGTCTCATTTGTGCCAGAATCTCTCTCAACTGGAAATGTGTGTATCACTGTCCCTCTCCTGTCTACAAATAACCATGAGAATATAATGAACAGTAATTTGTTTAGAGACTGTGCGAATTCACAAATCTGCACCCTGAGAACAAGCAGGATTGGCTGTGCTTCAGAAACTCAGAGCACTTCCAGTGTCATCAATGACAGAAGCAGGACCAGAATCTATACCCTATGCTTCTAGATCTATCTCTACCCAACCTAACAAAGGGATTTTTTCTTCTTCCTTTACTAAATAAAACTAGAAAGCATGGTTGACTATATTCCTATCTTAACAGATGAATTTATAAAACAGAATTTCTCAAGGAAACAAAAGGCTCTTTGGGGTCCACTTGTGGGGAAGCACGCAGTGAAGAATCAGAAATACACCAACTTTAGTACAGGCTCTTTACTCTTCAACCAACGAGCAATCTACAGAGGTGTAAAGAAGTGGGAATGATGATAACTGATGCTATAGGGGCTACAATATATTTATTTACCAGAGAGAGAGAGTCACACAAACTAGGAGTTAGAAGCGTGTCTGGCTTCCAAAAGAGAAGGTCCTTTTTTCTTTCGCTTCCTTTTATCTCTATCTGTGCTAATTTGCTTGTCCCTGTCCTCATGGGCGGATTTGTGGGGTTCACTCCTACAATTCCCCTTTTAATCTAAATAGAAGATTTAAATTTGATACAAACTCAAACATATACAACATATATACATAGAGGGTGATAACTAAGTTATAATCTACTTATCCTAAGCTAAACATATCCATTCCACCTAAATTCTAAACTCATCTGAAAGGGATGCCTAAGTCTGAACACCTCCTTCCATTCCCAACCCTAAAATAATTGAAAATTAACACAGGTGTAAATTATCCTCTAATATCAATAGTAGGGAGAAGGGACACCAGATAATGATGATAGCCAATGCTATAGGGGATACAATATATTTATTTACCAGAGAGAGAGAGAGAGAGAGAGAGAGAGAGAGAGAGAGAGAGAGAGAGAGAGAGAGAGAGAGAGAGAGTCACACAAGCTAGGAGTTAGAAGTGTGGCTGGCTTCCAAAAGAGGAGGTCCTTTTTCCTTTCGCTTCCTTTTATCTCTACCTGTGATAATTTACTTGTCCCCACCCTCATGGGCAGATAGCTTTGTGGGGTTCACTCCTACAATGTGGGAGTGAGTCCATGCAGATACTCCACTGTCAAGGACAATATCTATTTGCCCCTATCTGTACCTCTGCCTACCCTTCTTCCTATCCCTGTATCTAAAGTTACCTAGTGCTGGGATGGAAAACAGGCTCTTCTATTCTTCCAGTCAGCTACATTCCCAGTCCCATATGTTTACAGATATCTAGTTAATTCAGACCTATCGATAAAAATTTTCTCAGCAGAAACAGTCTCCCTGGGAAATGTGGAGAGAGTAGAGCAGGAACTCTCTAAACTCACCCATACAAGAGTCTCCAATAGTCTAGAAACTGAAAAGTCAAGTGCCGGGTCCCTACTGTCCCCTAACCTGGCCTACACATAAACATAGCATATAAGTATAACAGGAGATTTGTCATTAACTACAAACATGGAAAAGACCATAATGTTCACTCTTTTGCATCTGTGCTTCATAATTTCCAGGAGCCATGGTTAGTGCCATGGGGCCAGTTGTGTTTCTGAGGTACTGGAAACAAATTGCATGCTAGCTCTCTCTCTGGATAAAAGAGGGTTCTGCCTATCTGCTAAAGGCAGTTAAATCCTGTGAGGGGCACAGAAATGAATCTGTCTGGCACCAAAAGAAAACGCACATTTATAGCAGCTGATTTATTTGGTTGATACTCGGTATCGCTATGGTTTATAATTTTTAAGGCATGTGAACTGGGACATATTAGATATTACAGAAGGAGTAAGCTGATGATTTACAAGACTTCATATCAGGCCTGTTGACCTTCTCAATAAGAAAGGTTGGTGGTCGTAACAGCACTGAAAAACACAGCCCATGGGAATCAATTTAATGTAGAATAAACTCTTTAACAACCAGCGAGATAGCCATATCAGCTGCACCATCTGCAGATTATGCTGCTACTGTAAAAAGCACGTTTTAAAATAAAAAATTCATAGGCTTTATTTTTGAAAACATATGTTCCCATCAGAAACAATCCAGAAGCTTTTCTGATATAAGTGTCCACATTTTATAAAAACGACACGTTTAACAGCAGACAGAAGCAAGAGGGGAAAGGCCATTCCTTACACAGTAAAAAGGATGCTGGTACAATTTCTGTCCTAAAAATAAATCACTGGTCACAAAACAATGATATGCTTGTGTGCCCTTTGTTCTGCTTAGAACATATTCATCTGGTCCCCAGTGCAAATCATGCTAGTTTATGGACAAGCCGATACAATCAATAGATGGATGTGACCATTGGTGGCAACTCTTCACATTAACCTCACTCAGAAGCTGATCTTTGGAGGATTTGTCATCTCAGTGATCAGAGTCGTATGTCAAGGAAATACCAAAAAGTGGTTAATTTTAGCATCTCTCTGATATGAAAGCAAAACATCTGAAAATGTCCGTTATTATTGGCACAGATATTCCGGAAGTGTGATTACCTGTCCACCACTAGAATGGGTTTTACAGGTGGATTGTAACTTGACTGATGCTTGGATCTGGGTTTTGTCTTTCTTGCTGAGTCTCTACAGAAAAGCTCAAGCTTAATGCAAGGCTTTTGTTTATGAAACCTGATCCTCCCAGACATCGAGTCAGGTTGAATCTATATACAATAGTTGAATGAACATTGGGATGTACATTCAAAAGCACAGAGAGGGAAGTACAGCCAGCCTCCTGCCCACAGCTCGCTTGGCTGTTCTTCCTACTGTGGCAGCTGCTTTGCTGGACACTACTCTACTTTGAAGTTTTTGTTTTACTTAAAGGTGTGGCATGTGTCATTATTCTGGGATTTGTGCTACTATTCTATGCCATCTATTTGTGGCTCTGTTTCCCCATTACATAGTAACCATTCCCTAAAGTTCTATGCTTTCTCTAGGACTACCATACTATCTGGCATATAATAATCCCTTAATGACTACATTATAAATGGATTAAGTATACATATGTATACTCTGTATGATTCAGAATCACTGGAACTCACCAGAAATTTTCTGAAACTCCTCCTAAAGCTCTTCTATACGCCAAAATTTAAGCACCATTTATGATGGAACAGGTACTCTGAGCTGCTACGATGAGTCCTGTGAAGAATAAAGAAAACTTAAGATGAAGTTTTTGCCCTCAGAAAGTCCTTACTAAGAAGACGCCACAGGGCTTAAATCTGACAAGCTAAAGAGCACAAAGACTAAAGCAGCCCATGTGAGTCCATGAGTGACTGGCCTGTGAGCGAGGCAGGTAAGAATCGCTAACAAGACCAGGGCAGTTCATCAAGCTGAAGCTGTATGAGAAAAAAAGAGTCATATAATGAGTAGGATTTGATGCAGATCATAGAGGGGAGGGTTTCTGTACCCTGCCAATAAAGGGAGGAATCCAAGAAGGAGATGCTCACTTAAAGGAGTGTTACCTGCCTTTCCCTTTCCCATTATGCCCACTTCCAGTCATCACTGAAATGGAATTGGTGGCAGAATGAATAAAGCATTCCATTGGGGGAGGAGGGGCACACACCATGATCTTTTCCAGCACAGGCATGGTGTGTCTCGTAAGGTACCACCTTGCACAGGAGAACTCCATGCAGCCGTGATTGCCAGAGACTGCCGGGGTGCCTGCCTGTAGCATAGCCCCAAAGCTCCCAAGTGGTCTTCTAAGATTTTATTTTTCAAACATTAATTCTAGTTGCAATTACGCTTTAGAAATGGACATGTGTGAAATAAGCTTTTAAAAGAGAAAGTAGCCAGGCGGTGGTGGCGCACGCCTTTAATCCCAGCACTCAGGAGGCAGAGGCAGGCGGATCTCTGTGAGTTCGAGGCTGGGCTGGACCGATAGCCTCCAAAACAATACAGAGAAACCCTGTCTCGAAAAACCAAAATAAATAAATAAATAAATAAAAGACAAAGTAGTCCCTAAAAAAACAATGTTGTTTGCTAAACCTGATGACATAGGCCTGTGATGCAAGAGGATTTCAGTTCAAGGCCTGTCTGGGTTATAGGGTGTGTTGCAGACTCAGGGCAATTTAATGAGACTTTCTCTCAAACTTAAGAATCAAAATAAAAATAAAAGTAAAGCTGAGGTGTACAGCTCAGTGATGGAGCATGTGTTGAGCATGGATGAGGCCATGGGTTCAATTCCCAGTGCCACGCATGCACAAGAGTTTAGTTTGGGCCTGAAAACATAGAGCCTTGAAAATATATCCACAACACCTATGTTCTTTAATAAAATTTCACTATCCATTCAAAGATATTCCACCAAGAATTATAAATACTGGTATAATAATTTTTATAGGACAAGAAAGAGGAAAGGGACATTGACTTCTTCCAGGGTGGTTATACATAAACTATTTAAGCCTTGTACATATGCACAAGTTGGCATTTATTCCAATGCTTGAATATCCTTAACTTGGATGGCATCCATGATGGTCCTTCTACTTAAGGAACCAACCAGGTCAAAGTTTATGGTTCAGTTTACTTGGTGTTACTTCTGGAACATCCTGGCCTGGTGATCTTCCCTAACTACTCAAGCCTGGGTTTGAAACAAAGTCACCTTCAAAGAATGGGCATCAGTTGTGCACCTTGATAGAGTGTGAATCAGTGTCAGAGGACCATTTCCAGGAGGATGCCCAGGACATGAACTTATCTGAAGTCATCTACTCCACCCTAAAAGTCCTTTCTTACAAAGTATAAACCCTACTACCCTACCTCCCATGGTAGTTCACCTTCATTGCCAACCTGACTAGAGTTTAGAACCACTTCAAGACCTGACAGCTCTAGGTGTGTCTCTGAGAACTTTCCCAGAGGAGTCTAATTGGAAGCAGATCCATGTGGACACAGGCTGCCACAGGAAAGCCAGGTAAGTGCCAGTATACTTCTGTCTTATTAGGGAGTCAATGCTGTGAAGAGATGCCAGGACACAGTAACTCTTATAAAGAAAAAAATTTCATCGGGGCTTGCTTACAGTTTCAAAGGCTTATTATTATCATGGCAGGAAGCATGGTGGTGTACAGGCAGACATGGTGCCAGAGAGGTTCATAAGAGTTCTATGAAGTAAACGGTGTGTCACACTGAGACCTCAAAGCCCACTCCCACAGTGACACAGTGTCTCCAACAAGGCCACACTTGCTCCAACAAAACCATACCTCCTAATAGTGCCACTCCCCATGGGAGCCATTTTCAAACCATGCACCTTCTGTCTGTCTCTGTCTGCTTCCTTACTGTGGACATAATGGCCATCAGCCTCAGACTCTTACCACAATACTTAGAGGCAGTCTCACTGCCATGCTAGACAGTACCTACAAGAACTGTGAGCAAAATGAGCCTGTCTGTTTGTTTGTTTGTTTTTCAAGACAGGGTTTCTCTGTGTAGCAGCCCTAGCTGTCCTGGAACTCACTCTGTAGACCAGGCCTACTTCAAACTCACAGAGATCCACCTGCCTCTGCCTCCCAAGTGCTGGGGTTAAAGGTATGCACCACCACTGCCCAGCAAACTCATCATTTCTTTGGATGCCTCTCTTCGGTATTTTAACACAGCTACAGAAAAAGTACCGATGCCCACAATAAAACCTGTGAATAAACAATTTTGGCCAAGAACTCTTAAATATGTATCATGTGATTTCAGCCTCCTGTTTGGCATGCTGAGAGACTCAAGAGTTTGGAGGTCACTGCAGGACTGCTAAAATGCTGAGAGGGAGGAACTCGAACCTCACCACAAGATGTGACAGCTGTCAGATAATTTTCTGGTGACAGTAAAACAACCGCTGTTCTGAAATGGCTTTTAGTAGAGAGGAGTGTTCATAGCTTTGTCAGCAGTGTGGTACACAGAGACAGGAGACATAGCTCTAGAGATTTCAACAGAAGCCATACTGGCAATCATGGCTTTCATGGAAAAAAAAAAGAAGTATTTCAGGAATGTCCATCATGAATAAAGATAAATAATTTAAATAAAGGTATTTTAATATAGGCTTAAGGGAAGGGTCAAACGAGGAGTTCTTCGAAGACAGACACAATCCAGAACACCACAGGTATACACTTCTCAGAGAAAGAGCTGCACTCCATTGTGGTTTATAATAGTCACGTAGAGGAAAGAGTTATAACCAGTACAGTAAAGGGACACCTGCACAGTAAGCAGAGTGGACAGTGTCTCAGAAAATGAATGAGGCCCTTGCCAAGGTCATATACATCTGGGCCTTAAGTTGGAATTATTGTGATTTAAAATTAAATACCCACATATGAAAGATATATTACCTCTGTTGTGGCAGCCTTTTCATGAAATGTTGATTGTGCTGGGACTCTTGCCTCTCGGTGGGCATGGGCTTCCCCAGTCTCCTAAGAGAGGAACCCTTTCCTTTCCCATGTCCCATAATTTTTCCTTTCTTCCTAACTCCTGCCTCGGTTTTGGTTTTATCATGATTATGAAATGCAGCCAGGATGGAGCTTCCCGCCTGACTTCCAGGACTTGGATGGATAAACTTCCAGCTATCTCCAGGGATGCAAAGATGGTTCTCTCTAATCGGCTTAGCAAGAAGGGAGGAGGAACTAGTGAAGCATGACAGACATCAGCTGTCAATCATCAACAATGGAGTCATGAGTCTCTAGAAGGATCTGCATCAGATGTCTGGAGAACGCTGAAAAGGTGTCATGTGTCACACACAGTGCTCCAGGACACGTGCAGCAGGAACAGTAAGCGTGCAGAACTGCATTCGTACAGAGGAGATGGCCTTGGATATTGGTTTCCTATCACTTCTGTAACAGGACCACAAACTTAGTGGCTGAAGAAACCCCATAAATTTATTGTTTTAAGTATTTCTAGAAGTCAGAAGTTCAAAACTTGTCTCATTGAGCAAAAACCAAGACATTTTTGTTAGGTCTCAGAGAAGTCTAGGACAAGCCTCAGAGCGGACCTTTGGCTCCTCCCAGCAATCCTCACCCCGCCCTCTTCTGTAAAACCCTCCCTCCAACCGGCTGGACTTCCACTTCGCTTTTCCCAACCTGATCCCTATACAACTCAGCCATTTGGACTATGCCAGTCTCTTGGTCTCTTGGCCCAGACCATCTCCCTTGTTCTCCCTCCCCATCTCTCCTCTCATGGTTTGGGTTAGTCTGCCAGCCTGGACTCTTCCCTCTGCCAGCTTTCTCCCTTATATCTCAATAAAAACCTTCCCCATACTTTAGGAATTGTCATGTCCTCTTCTTTTTATTTCATTTTTTTCATTCCATTTTCTGGTTTGGTTTCTTTAGAGACCTTAGGGAAAAATCCATTTCCTTGACTTTTCCAGCTTGTAGAGAGGCCACTACGATTTCCTCTGTCTCAAAAGGCAGCAATACAATCGTCTCTGTACTTTGACCTCTATACCCATCTTGCATCTCCTTCCTCAATTCTGTTCCTCCTACTATTGGAACCACTTAGATTACATTTGTTCTATCTGGATAGTAGAGGGTAATCACCCACCTCCATGCTCTGATGTTTGTCACATCAACAGTCTCTCTTGTCATGCAATTATTCCAGGATCCTGAATATTAGAAAGTGAATGTCTGAAATGACATCAGTGATTCTGCATTGTATCCATTAGTAGTCACTGGAAATGCAAAGGAGAAATTGGGTGTGGTGGCATACCCCGCAAGGATCAGAAGTTAAAAGATAGCCTGACTAGAGAGTGTAATAAACCCATGTCTCAAAAAATAGGAAGAAAGAAAGAAAGAAGGAAGGAACTGTCATGGGGTAAAAGTCTTCTACTATCAACTGATGCACTAAATCCAGACAACCTGGTTGTGGTGGCACACACCAGTAGGATTTGCTGAAGGAGAAAGATATGAGTTCAAGGCCAGTCTGGGCTACACATTTTTAGCCAGGCATTGGTGGCATATGCCTTTAATCCCAGCACTTGGAAGACAGAGGCAGGCAAATCTTTGTGAATTCAATGCCAGCCTGGTCTACAGAGCAAGGTCCAGGAGAGGCTCCAAAGCTGCACAGAGAAACCCTGTCTGGAAAAACTAAAAAAGAAAAAAAAATCCAGACAAAATATAAGACTCATGGAGGTGTCCCAGAGGAAACTCAGTGCCATTTTAACAAGATATCAACATTGTACTCTGTCC